AAGCAGGGGAATTTCCCTGAAATCACCTCTATGCACAGAGCTGATGTCACAGTGGCTGTTCCCTCTTTATACATTTTATATGTCAAGAGCTTAATGGTTAAGCAGTCTCCTAGATACCTAAGCCTGAGGGCATCCAAACCACAACCTGGACAAGCTGGAGAAGTGGGCCCAGGTGAACTTCATGAGGTTCAACAAGGCCACGTGCAGGGTTCTGCACCTGGGCCGAGGTAACCCAAGGTATGAATACAGGCTTGGGGGGAGGTCACACTTGAGAGCAGCCCTGTGGAAAAGGACCTGGGGGCACTAGAGGATCAAAAGCTGGACATGAGCCACCAATGTTCAGCTGCAGCCCAGAAGGCCAACTCCATCCTTGGCTGCATCAAAAGAAGTGTGGCCAGCAGATGGAGAGATGCGATTCTGCCCCTCTACTCTGCCCTGGTGAGACCTCACCCAGAATACTGCATCCACTCTGGTGCCCCCAGCACAGGAAAGTGCCTGTTGGAAAGTTCCTGTTGGAACATACCCAGAGAAGGGCCACGCAAATGATCTGAGGGCTAGAGCACCTCTCTTATGAGGACAGGCTGAGAGAGTTGGCATTGTTCAGCCTGAAGAAGAGAAGGCTCCAGGGGGACCTCATAGTAGTCTTCCAGTACCTGAAGGGGGCCTGCAGAAAAGATGGGGAGGGTCTTTTTGTAGGGGCTTGCAGTGAGAAGACAAGAGGTAACGGTCTTAAGCTGAAAGAAGAGAGATTTAGGTTAGAGATCAGACATAAATTCTTCAGTGTAAGGGTGGTGAGACACTGGAACAGGCTGCCCAGAGCTGTTGTGGGGGCTCCATCCCTGGAGGTGTTCAAGGGCAGGCTGGATGGAGCTCTGAGCAGCCTGTTCTAGTGGAAGGTGTCCCTGTCCATGCAGGAGAGTCAGAACTCAATGATCTTTAAGGTCCCTTCCAACTCCAAAAATTCTGTGATTCTGTGAAATCTCTTCTGCTTCTAAATTAGCCTTGCTAGAAGATGGGAAGAATCTTTTTCTTTTTCTTTCTTTTTTTTTTTTTTTTTTTTTTTAATGAGTATATCAGCTCAGCAACTACACAGGTAAGGTGTTATTTAAACATAACCAACTGCTATGAGAGACTCTAGCTAAGGTCCTGAGAACCAGAGAGTGTAGAAAAGTGGCTCAAGGGAGGGAATTGCTCCCAAAAACAGATAGTGATGTTATGAGGTTCACGTCACAATAGAATCATAGATTCATAGGGACTGGAAAGGATCACTGATGATCATCAAATCCAATACCCCTGCAGCAGAACAAACACATAGGGCAGACCACACAGGAACACATCCAGACAGGTCTCTAAAGTCTCCAGAGAAGGAGACTCCACAACCTCTCTGGGCAGCCAGTTCCAGTGCTCCGTCACCCTCACAGTGAAGAAGTTTTTCCTCATGTTGAGGTGGAACTTCCTGTGTTGCAACCTGGCACCATCTCCCCTCATCCTATCACAGGGCACCACTGGCCCATTCTTTACATCCACCCTTCAGATACTTAAACACGTTAATAAAGTCCTCTCCTAGTCTTCTCTTCTCAAGACTAAACAGCCGCAGGTCTCTCAGCCTTTCCTCGTATGACAGATGTTCCAGTCCCTTAATCATCCTTGTATCCCTTGTTTAGTCAATAAGTTTACTAAAAAACCCCACAGAACAACACAAACAAAAAAACCCAAAACAGATGGAAAATTACTGTTCTGTAGCTGGTGATTAATCAAATAAGCGGTGTTGCCAACCTTTTTTACTGTGGTTTCTATGCAGGGTGACAAATAATTCAACAAATGTTTAGTGCTGTTTCAATCTAACAAGAGTGTTCTATAATGGACAAAGTTTAGTAAGTTAGGAAGCAATTCAAAAGTGAAGTCCAATGAAACAGCCATACTTAGTGAGCAAAAATGCATTCAACCTACTGCAAATCACCTTTGAAATACACTCAGAAGAATTAAATATTTCAGCAAAATGTAACGCATATGAATTCCAACTAAAATGTCTGAAATAAGAAATAAAAGCTTTATTCCCAACCTCCAGAGTTCAGTCACTGTTCATGAAAATAGAGGTGTATTAAATTACCTACTGAAAGTGCTCACAAAAATGCCTAGTTAAAAAATAAACATGTAGAGGACTATAAAAAACAGTTTGTATAGAACTAGGGAGGGCTACAACTATAAAGTTCACCTAAATTTTGTTTTCTCCAAAGTGAAGATATATTAGTATGCAAAATTCCATTAATACCCAATTAATTTTGCATGTATTTTCTCCTGAAAAAACTGGTCAAGAAACATGTAAGTAAGAATTTTTTTTTTTGTTTTAGTGAGAACAATTGCATGAAATCCAAGTACCTTTGTTCCTTACGAGATCATCTGCTCCTGCTGCTCATTTACCATCTGAAATCATAATCATCTGTTGGTGACAATCTAATAATTTTCACAGTAACTAATTGTGATATCACAAACAAATGATTATGATTTCAGGTGGTGAACAAACAGCAGGAGCAGATGTACTCTGAAGAAGAAAGACTGCAAAGTCATGCACAATTCCCTAGTAATAAAATGTTAGGCAAGAAAAACAAAGAGCCTGTCCTTTACAGAGAGGTAGGATTGCTCTGAATGTAATTTTTTGTTATTAGTTTTTCAATACTTACTTTGTGACTTCTATCATTTCTGGAAATAGATACAACTGTACTATGGAAAATTGAGGGTGGGGAACTTATAAAAGCAGTTAGGGTAATTTTTACCTTGTTAGAATTACAATACATAAAACCAGTGTTATTTATTTGTTTGCTTGTATTTCATAGCTCATCTACAGCTTCTCCTAGAATACATACTGTATTATGTTTGTGATTACCCCCTCCAGAAATATAAAACCAAAATATATTCCCAAGAAAATGCACTTTGCATTAAGATTGTTTATTTGTTTCATGTTTCCGTTTTTTGTTTGGTTTTTTTTTTATTACTGCTTAAGTCAAATCCAGAGAGATAAATGACCATTCTGTTGACAGTAAACATCTCTGTATGGGCTGCAAATGCTTGTGGTGTGCCCACAGTGTCTCAACCTCTCTTCCAGAAGCTTTAAGGAAAAAAACCCTCACACAAGGTTCCTGTCATTTCATGTGTGAAAAATGTTTAAGATATCCCAAAACAAGAAACAAATAGCTCCGTGTTTCATCTTTAAGATTCTGGAATGAAGAGGACAGGTAAAGATGTAAACCTGTCGAAAGCAGCTTTGCCAGTGAGTAGAAGGAACAGAAGTGAAACTTGCTGCAAGGGCAGCTGCAAAAGTACATGATAGAAGGGAACAAGATAAGTTAATTTTCAAGGGTATATAAAAGGGAACAGTAAAAATGCATTGAGTAAATAAGCAGGAGGATAGAGACTGAACAGTATATCCCAGCAAAAAAACTCTACATAATAAGGGTACAATGAAATATTTTCATCAACTATACCAAAATATAGAACTATTACGATTTCTTGTTTTGTTGTACTAAAGCATACAACTTCACTTTACTATTCCAGCTTTACTTCACACCATTTCAGATGAAGACATAGTGCATTATCCTTTTTCCAGGCATATAAATATACCTTAGCATATTACTACCTGAAATTACGTGACAATTTTTATCTCTAACATTGAAACTTGTTTAGAGCATGCTTAAAAAAATCGGCCCTTTAAAGGTACATGACATGAGAGATGATGCATGCAAGTGATATTTTCTTTCATTCGAAGAAGACATTTCAAACTTCCCCAGATCTCCTTGACTACAAAGCTCTGAGGTTATCTTGGACTCTGAGGCTGAAGGGCAGATCAATAGATGCACACAGGGAAAACTCTTAATAATACCAGTTCTTCAGGATTTTTTATGCATCCCCTGTGTGGGAAACTATCAGACAATATTCTACCAGAAAAAGAGTAGGGAAAGTGCTTCCTACCAGCAGTATAAGCCAGTAAGAGCAAGGATCTCTTGAGAAATGTTCAGCTCATATATGTCCATTAGACCAAGGGGATATATCTCAGTGTGCTGAGTCAACAGGCTTATGTCATTGAGACGCCACCCTCTAGTATCTTCCAAAAGTCATTGAGATCAGGAGAGGTCTCAAATGCCTGAAGAAAGGCATCATTATCAAAAAAGGCCTGCTGGTCAGCCTCACTTTAGCCTCCGGGAAAATCAGTAAGTCCTCTTAAAACTACTTGTGGTCACACAAAGGAGAAAAAGGTATTGGGAACAATCAGCATGAATGTACCAAGGATTTTAGAAAGTCTCAACAATCTGACTGCCTTTTACAATAAAATGACTGGATTTATGAATGGAGAGCAGTGGATGTCATTTATGTTTGCTTTAGTAAGGCTTCTGACATCAATGTGGGATGCAAAGAGTCTAGGTAGATGAATTACTAGATGATGAAAAATTGTTTGGGAATCAGGCTTGGAGGATAGTGGTAGGCTTTGGAGAACTTAATGCCAGCCTTCCAACACCTATGAAGAAGTTTCAAGAAAGACAGAGCCAGACACATTACAGAGTCATGTAGAAGAACAGGACATGACAGTTATAAACAAACATGAGATGTTCCTACTGGTATAAAAGAAAAAAATAATCAGAATGAAGACAATTAAACACCCCAGCAGGCTGCTCAGAGAAGCTACGGAATCTCCATCCTTGGAGAACTGGAAAAAGATATACACAATCTTGTCTGAATTCTTTACTGACCCTGCTTTGAGCAGGTGGTTTAGCTGACTTCTTAAAATCCCTTACAACCTGAAGGATTTAATGATTCAGTGACAAAATAAAAATCTTCTTGTTTCTGCACTCATTCATGTCTGTAACTCACACAGAGGACACTCAAGAGTTAATTAATCTAATAGGGATAAAAACCCAAAAATATTTATAGAAAGCATTTCAATGGTATTGAATAATCCAAATTCTACAAAGAGAACCATAAGTATCAATTCAGAGAGCAATACTTACTGTTACTTGTTGGCTCAGTAAACCCAACATTCTGGCCATTCCAACTCTTGTTTTCTCCAAGCTGAAACAGGTAGAAAAAATCAAGTAAGTGAAGAGCAAAATACTCCTTAAAAGAACATTCATGTTTATGAATTTAGTTGAAAGATTCTAAAAAGGATGACTTAGGATTGCCACATCTGCTCACAAAACTTTGCTAACACATCTAAATTTTTGTCCAAAATAGGTTATTTGAGGAATGTACCCTTCATGAATAAACATTAACAACTATTGCATAACACTGAAATATAAATGTTTCCCCAAGGATTAGGCACAACTCCGTATGTTACCAAATCAGACTCAAAATCAAATGTTTTAAGCAGCTCTCAAATGAAAACATACACTGACAACAGAGAAATTACATTCTAAACCAAGATCATCCGAATGTCTGCTTATGAAAGAATGCATAAACACTATAAAGTACTTTGGGTGTAATTTCAAAATATTTACTTGCTCAGAATCCATTTAGTTACTAAAGTGGAAGCAAAACAAAACAAAACAAAATATTTCTATTTTCTATTATTTTAATATATATACTTTTTTGAGGAAGGTAATTGTCTTCAAGTTATTTTTATTATGCTTAACACCAGGTATTACCCTGACACAGAAAAGGTGAGCAATTAATAAAGAAGTTCAAAATTATGCCTTCCCTGAAGTCTACATAGTAAGTAAGATGACAGTGGTCAAGGTTTAGATGAAAATGTGAATAAACAAGTCTAAGCTTCCTCATGAACTAAAAGCTATTGACAACCAGCTCCATGAATGTGAAACAAATGATCCTTTTCAGATTTCACTGGGATTTTACATACAAACAGAAAACTTTGTAGCAAAGCAGTCTATTTTCCATGACAAAGTTGTAATCATTTGGTCTGGAAGACAGAGTCGATTGGAAAGCAGAATTGACACAAAGGAGGATCAGCAGGCTGAAATTTGCTTCTTCATTGCATTAAGGCCGTTCAGATTACTATCATGTTGTAACGCAGACTACTAAATAATATGTTTTCCTTGGAAAAGAGAAGGGAAGAGCACACTATGCAAAGCAGCTATTTCAGTGACTATTTCCTTGTCTTTCCTCATCATATGAATCTCAATGTGCTTACAACCCAGGCCATGTACTATAAAAATGGGAAATATTCAGCGGAAAGGAAGGGTAAGTATTAGGGTAAGTATTAGAATTGGTTCTCAAACTAGTCACCCACCTTCACACATTTTAATTTCACTCCTTTCATTCTTATTATGAATGAGATAATATGTATATTGGAAAACATGAAAGATGACAGTTCTTCAAATCAATAAGCAATATGAAATCTATAAATATGTTTGTATTTGTGTCTGTTACAACAGCGTGTTTTGGTCATTAACACATACTGTGCATCCATAACATGATCTGTAAAGCAGCATGAGTACAGTGCTAAAATAAGAGAAGAACAAAGAATCACAGAATAGCCATGGTTGGAAAGGACCTCTGAGATCACTGAGTCCAACCATCATCACAAAAAACCAAACCAAACCAAACCAAACCAACAAACTACCAGACAACACACCACCCAAAAAATCCCCCATACCCAACAAAAACTCAAACAAACACAAACACCACACACACTACCAAATAACACCCACAATAAAACCCCCTACAATCTCAGCCACTAGAGCATGCCCTGTAGAGCATGCCCTGAAGTTCCACATCTACACGTTTCTTGAATACCTCCAAGGATGATGACTCCACCAGCTCCCTGGGCAGGCTGCCCCAGTGCCTGACCACTCTCTCAGTAAAAAAATTCTTCCTAATGTCAAATCTAAATCTCCCCTGCTGCAACTTCAGGACATTTCCTCTGGTCCTGTCATTATTCACTTGGGAGAGAGGCCAACACCCACCTCCCTACAACCTTCTTTCAGGTAGTTGTAGGGCATTTCCAGCTCTCCTCATTCCTCTCTTTTTACTATTTACTAACTTGATCATGATGAAGAATTTAAAAAGAATTAATCTATCAGCAAGTTATCCTTAAGAGCTGCTATTTCACAAGAATGCAATTTACTCTGTTTTTCTTCTAAGAGAATAAAAGTGGTAAGAAGAAAAGACGGAAACATGTAAAACAAAGCCATTACTATCTCCATATTCTGAAGCATAGAGCTAAAGTTCTGATGGCTGCAAAAAGTCTCCCAGGACACTTTTAAATTGCACTCCTTAGAGCTCTGCCCAACCATTACTCATTTCTTGCAGGAAATGGATTACCTTAGAAAAGGGCAGAGCCTTTACTTTTTTACATTACCTTGATTACCTGTTTACCTGTGTTGCCATCAGCACCATGCATGGCTCTTGTAACACTCTTAGGTCTTAATTAAGACAGTTATACCAGTCACATTTTATGCACTGGGATTAAGGAAAAAACCATGGAATCTGGTTTTGCCTTTTTTTCTTTAAGGGAGGAGAAAGGTGATGAAAAGACTTGGGGGAGAGGGGGCAGGGAACAGAGAAGTTTATTTTTTTAAAAGCATCATAATCAACACAAGTGAAAATTATCCATTTAGATGCCAACCTGATATGTCAGCTAATCTACATTGGGCCTCACTTTGAACTGAAAGAGAGAAACAAGTATCCACTAATGGTACATCTTTATTGTGCCACCTATATGGAAGGACTTTTGCAGTGCTCAAATTGGTAGACATCTAAGGGCTATTTTCTCTCTTCTTTAGCACAGCTCAGTTTGAGCATTAAAATGCTTTAATGTACACAAACTAACTTCTGTATCTGCTTTAAATACGTTCAATCTGTTATACGCAGAAGATAAAGCCAGATGTTCCACATATTTTATGTTCTTAACCCCAACAAAGCTACAAAAATTTGTTCTATGATCTTAAATACTCCCACTACATAAAACTTTAGCAGTCCACATTTTTTGGATACAGTATCACGTTTGTTCATTGTGTTCAGAATCATACTAGGCCACTGCATGCTATTCTATAAATTCTAAGAAATCTATGTCTGAACATACGTAATTAAACTGCTTTTTGAAAGACAATGCACTTGTAATCAATAGTTTAAAAAACAAGGAATTGGAGTAGCAGCACCCCTTTTTAGCCACTCCATTTTTTTAAGGCTTTCAATGTAACCACAAGTTTCCACTGTGTAGAGCTCTCCAAAGCAACTATGTGGTAGGCTGATTTTTTTCAGGCTTTATCTCTGAAAACTAGTGAGTAAAAATAGTTCAGTCAATTTGAAATTCAGGACTGAAAAACTATGTTTTTCTATTAGAAAAAAAAAGTTGACATTTCTGGCTTGCTTTGTTTTCCAGAAAGCCCTTTGGCCAAACTGGCAGTGAAAAAATGTTGAAAGAGGTAGAAACTAACTCCTACATCAGAAAAGTCTCAGCTTTCTGGTGAAAATTAATTACCATTAAACTCTGTCAGAAATATTGCACACTTTTATATGACTAAGTTATATAGTGAAGAACATAGTGAAGGTGAATGTGAATAGCATACAAGGAACTGCTCCTAGCAAAGGAGAGGGAAACATAATGATGCCAAGTATCTAGTATGACATTTCTTTTCCTGGCTAAGTGTATAGAACAAATAGAATATCTTCCTATTTTTTTTAAGAAAAAGAAAAGGCATTTAAGAAGATACAGATAGATAGATATACACTATATTCAGATTTATCATGTAGACCGCAGAAAAGCCCAGAAGAATATCCCATTGACCTGATCTAGCTGCTGCAGCCACAGCAAACATTTAAGCCAAGATCAAAATATATACATGCAGTGACTCTGTATAAGACAGAAGCAGTTCAGAGCCCACAGCTGAGCCACATACCTTACCAAATATCTTTTCAGGATACAAAAGGCAAAACCATAGTACCCAATTTTGGTTACAAAACCTTCCATTAATAAACTCAAGGCAGGGGAGGAGTGCTAAGCTGTGCATCACTAACGTGGAAACACATAACTGCAGCACAATCAAATGTAAAATGCAATTCCTTCACCACAAAGAAAAAAAAAAAAGAGACACAGTTACTTTCTCAGTCATCAAACCTGAAAAAGCCATTGTTTTTCTGGAGTGCTTTTAGTACATATGCAACAGCAAGACAAACACTGACTACTATGACTACTTCATGTATTAAAATTAATAACATCATTCGTCTCAGTTCTCTCATGGATGCCCAGAATAGAATAAAGCAAAAGGCATAAGTAGAAATAGATGCACACATCATCTATGTATTTTTCACACACACTATCATCTGTAACTACCTTTCTGTTCCTAATTACTCTTAGAGGGGAGAGGCTGCACTTACAGGTAACTGTAGCTATACAGCTGTAGCTAAATGAATGCTGACCTCTGACAAGCTCCCTTCTAAAACATGGGGTGCACTACTTTAAGCTTCTCTTCTTACTAAGTGATTAGCTGATACAGCTAAGAATGAGTAAGGGTAAAATGCAAGCATCGTAACAACTAGTTCTCACCTTTTCTGGCTGGTCTTGAAGAGGAGTAGATGCTTTGTAACCCAGCTGTAGCAACATTGCTTCTGCTGCATTTCTTTTAGCTATTTTCTTGTTTGGGCCTGTTCCAGTAGTAACCTCATTGCCTACTTTTACCTTAAAAAGAAAATATTTATCATAATCACAATAAATGCAAGACTCCTTAATATCACCATGTAATAATCTTGCTGATCTACCAGCAACTGTTAGCTCTTCTGATGAAGATATAATATTGGAAAAGAAAGAATAGAGCAGAAGGGGGCAACAATACTGCTTCACACCAAAGAGCCTGCTTAGATTTTTCAGAAGGTCTCCAAACTTATACCGAAGAGCTACTTTTTTCTGTATCTCAACGTGCACACAGTCGTCTTTCCCTCCTACCAGCTTCTGTTCCAAACCTCCCTGCTGAATGAACATGTCCCCCACTCTTGTTCCCCTCCTATTTCTTAATGAGGAAAGTGCTACAGGATCTGGACTTCATCTTTGTAGGAGTGTTGCCTGCAGCAGCCCCCCAGCATCATCAAGACAGTATTCAGAAGAACAGAGGCATGAACAATGAGCTGGAGATTAAAATGAGAGTGGTTTCTAAAGAAAGATGAAAACCATGTTTGCATTCCTCCCCTTTGTCCCACCACAGGCGCTGGGGCTGCTTTCTTTTCTGCACTTACACCTGACAAACTTTTATCAAAATTGTCTTTGGGAAGAAGGCTCCTCGATGTACTTGCAGTCTCTGTACCACACAAACAGTTTCTGATAAACAAGATGCCTTTCATAAAACTAGTAGCAATTAAAGCCTCAAATAAAGGGAAATTATAGACAATGGATATCCATAGAGCGAAGCTGTAACTTACTCCTTGGGTTTGGTACTATTCTTGAACTCCTGAAGCTGTGAGCATCTGGTTTGTAGTGTTAGCACTGCCATTGCTATTCACTAATGCAATATTCATAGCTCTTTGATGGCTGTATTTCATTCTGTCCATTAAGCCATTTTATTCACCATATTTCCTCTTAAAATAGTAAATTATTTCCAAAGTGTGTTAAAAAAAAGAAAAGGGGAAATTAAGAAAAAATAAAATAGTCAAGGTGATCTGAACAAAAGAAACCTTGAACATCAAAAACCTGAAAATGTTCAGAAAGAGCTTTAAAAAATTGTAAAAACACTCATACAATTGTTAAATAAATACTAAATATTATTAGTACTTTATTTTATTCAATAATTACTCACTTTCCCTAAATTATCATGTATATATTTTCCTACAAAATTCCTCTTCCCTCAAACACTTATGAATTCTACATACAAAGAAAAGTCTGTAAATAAATAACACAGATCATTAATAGCCCTTCAAAGAACACATACAATTAACCAAAAGGATTTGGCTACCTAAGACAGAAATATTAATAATCTTGAAATAAAAACTTTATCTTCTATGCAGTTCCACAATCACCATTAGTGAGTAGCCAATCTGCTACAAGTTTATATGCAATAACACTGAGGGACTTTAATGGGACAAGACAAAATGATAATTTATACTATAGCTCACAATAAATCAATGTGAAGTTATTTCTCAGACCTGTAAAACTGGTTTAGCTATTATTATAACCTCTATCAAGGATTAAAGGTCTGACTACAAAGAGAAAGAGCTTTCTGAAATTAACTTTGGGAACAGAACACCAACTAATGTCATCAGAGGTTTTCTTCTGTTTATCTAGTGGTCAGGACAAGTAATTGGATCCATTTCATCACATCTAAACTTGTTCTTTGTGTGTCAGATAAAAATGAACATACTATCTCTGGATATTTTACTTCCACATTCAATTAAATTAAATGAAAACATTGTTTAAGTAGTTTATACAAAGGCTTTTTATTCTGATAAGGTTTTTTGTATGCCATAATGAATCCACTGAGACTTCCTGAAGGTGGGAGAAACAGCAGTATGATTTTAGTGTGAAAATATCACAATAAGGGTAAAAATGAATCTATGGTGTTTGAAAGTATACCAAATAAAGCAAATGATCTATAGAATTTCTTGGGACCCTTTCTTTCGCAAGTCTTCCTAGATTCCTACAATGGAATCTTCTACGTATTCAGTTATTTTAAGATATTTTTTTTTATTCAAACCAAGGTTTTGGTCATTATTGAGACTCCTCCAATCAAAAGCCAAATTCTCAGCCCAGCTTTCTAATACTGGACTGAGTTACACAATCTTCTTCTGATGCCTCACACAACCATCTCCAACAGTGGACACTCCCACAGGGTCCGAGCAAGAAAAAAAGGATGGTCTCTGATAGGATTACTCTTTTTCAAATATGTTCACATAGAATAAAAAGTTGGAAATCCAAGTTTATCAATCAGATTCTGCAACAAAAGAAACCCATTATCTTCTTTTGCCTCAGAGAGAAAGATAATAAATCAAGACAGATAACTGAGGTCCAAGGAAATGAAGATTGCTGGCCTATCTTGACTGACAGAAGGAAGGACTCAAAGATTTAAGTGAAAACATAACTAATTTTCTGGACAAGGCAGTGCTGGCACATCATAAATTCTGCTTGTGATCAGAAGTGACATTTTGGCGTGGTTTGTAGACAACAAGTTGAAACAGGTTCAGGTATGCTGTTCTGAATTGTTCCGGCACAAAATTACCCCCGACTAAAAACACAAGTGAACAGAATTCCTTCCTGTTCCTAGTCTTTCTTAACCTGCTGCTGTGCCATCTAATAGAATTTCACAGTTATATAAGATCTTTGTGAATGTTCTTAATTTAGAAATTAAAGAACCATTAATGATCTACTGTTTCTGTACTAGGTTGATAGCCTTAAAACAGAAAAGCTAAAACACATGATGAAAAGCTTTTTCTGTGGTATTTCAGATACAAACAAAGCCACAAAAAAACTGAAAAGATTTTTTTTTTTTAAATAAAAAGCTTGGTAATACAGAGATATTCATATCCACATTTCAGATCACTTTTTTGTATTGCAATCCTCTAATCAACAATAGCAAAAAATAAACTTTAAAAAAGACAAGTATAAGCAAATAAATTATGAACCATCAGCGTTAAGACATAAACTGTCAGACAAAATGAAAATATGAGCCAAATAATGCAGAACCACTACAAGAAAAGCATCTAGAAGGCACATAACCTAATTGTCATTAGTTTCACCAAGAGAAAGAAGATTCAAACAGGCTTTGATACTGTATTTCACACTTCTTGCATAGCTGACCGTAACGCGAAGAGCTAAAGACAGAGGGATCTGCTTCCTGTGATTCTAAGATTTTGCTTGAGTTTTAACACAACAGAGCAAGGGAACTATCTCTATGTTACAGCAGATACCTGCATAACAAACTCTCGACGGCGAGGCATTCCTCTCTCTGACAGAAGAACATACTCTGGCTCCTTCTCCTTTTTGGCCTGCTGGATCTGAGCCAGACGACTGATGGGATTCATTCCTTGACCGTATTCTGGTCCAGTCTAAAACAGGTTTAAAAGAAAGAATAATTATTACAGTATATATCCATACAATTGTGTTCCTTTAACAATCTTTTAATAGGGTTATCTATACTTTAATACTCCCTTTCAGAGAATAAGAAGCAAATTTCTTTCCATCTTCTGATCAGGAGACAAAGGTAAGAATCCTTAAACTCAAAACTGTGGCAAAAAATATGCACCTATTGTATGCCACTGTTGCAGGCAGTTTGCATGCCTAGCATCTGTACACTATATATATAAATTAATATTAACTGTTGTTACTTTATTCATGCTCAAATCATGTGCAAGTTAAATTAACATAAATGGGCACACTACAAGCATTCCAGAAGCTTGGATATTAAAAAAATAAAAACCTTCTCTATATCCAGGTTACTTTTACTACTAATGTCTCTTTCTAACATGTCCAACTTCATTTAATTCAGTTTAAGATAAATGGTATATGGTACTATAACAGCCTTTTTCATTTTATACCTCTAGCATCATTCTTGAGAATAACTTTTCAAAATGAGACAGACAAAGTAAATAGCCGATTTGAGACCTTGCAGCTTTAAAGTTGCATTAATGCTCATTTTTTTCCTAGAAGCTTTTGAAAATTAAACACCCAGAAATTCAGCAGAAGCTGGGTATCGAATTAACCTAGTTTTTTTGGGTTTATTTACATCAATAATTCTGTTTTGAAGGCAAATGAAAAGAGGAAGATGATGAAGCAGGTCCTTTGTACATTTTCCAAGCCCATTTTTGCACTTACATTAGATGGCTTTTCTGTTGGTTGTTCCTACAAGAGCCTGCACTCAGTGTACTGAGTACAAAGATTTCTAATGGTTCTACTTCTGGAAGATAAATACTGATTTACTTATTTCTATAATTTATCAATGTAACATTCAATGAGGACTAAGTTCGAGCCATACAGGTATAACACCATCCAGCCAACATAATGCAAGCCAAGGACATAACATAATTCAGAAAAACTGAAGTGTTTTGTTTTTTCCTAAACTAAGAAGATGCAAATACACAAAAAGATGAAATTTAGGTACTAAAACTATATTTTGAAGCAGACGTTTTGGATATGAAGCCTTCCTGTTCTTTCCTGTAAATCTAGTATCAAGGTTCCTCATTTGCATAGTATGGGGTGAAAGTGACTCTGTAACACCAGAGAGAAAGTGAGCAACTCTCCACTGTTATGTACACCAACCTGCTGCTTTTGTTAGATCATTTGGAATAAATACTTCAGATGACCCGTTGGTTTTGTTTGTTTTGTATGAATTTATGATGAGTAGACAAACCAGGGTTAGTCACCTCAGATGACTGACTGAATAGTAGAAGTTGCAATAAATCTACTACCACCGAGAATAAAAGCATCATTTAAGAAGCTTGAGTTTACAAGAATCCAGAGCCTCTAATGGAAGTCCCATCAGTGCAGCAAGAAGCATATTAATATCCTGAGACAGGGCATGTTTTAACAGAAGGATGGCTCAAAGTCATGAAGTCCTCCATGGGCTAGTCTCCAGTCAATTTTCTATCTGTATTTGAGAGCTAAAGAGCATTATCAAACACAGACTCATGAAACAAACAAACAAACAAACAAATTATTGTCCTTTGGTATTTGACAAGTAATACACTGGGCTAAGATGTCAACATACTCTTTGCAAGTCCTTAATCTAGCTCCAGCTCTAGCAGGACTGTGCACTATTTGCCCCCCACCATTTCTCTCTCTTCAAACTGAGGAAGGGTGAAGACCAAGCAGAGAACCACCATGTATGCTGGTGGGGCCTCCCAGAAGAGATGAGGCTAAAAATTCACATGGCTGTACAGAGCTGCTTGGAGGGTTTGATCATCCACTAGACTTGAATCAAACTCTTGAAGACTTCTGTGCTGCTAGCTTGGTTCTTAAGCCAAGCACCTAACAGGTCATTATATTTGAGAATTTCACAGCATTCTCAGAATTTAAAAAAGTACTGGCATATAAACACAGGCAGAAAGGTAACAGTATCAACAGAAAATTACAAATAAGCTTTTACTGATTCAAAATCTGAATACCTTTGCTACTTTCTAAGCAAACATGCTTAATTCTGTCAAAGGCAGATACATACCTTCAATATTGTTTTTGGACGTTTTTTAAAGTAAAGTTTTGGCTTTTCAATCACAGGAAGAGGAGGAAGTTTCTTAAGTTCTTGTAGGACAGACATTGCAGCACGTTTCTTTGAGAGTTTCTTACTGTTACCTTCTCCTTCTGCAGTGAATTCTCCTACTGTAACTCGTGTAACAAAGCTTTTCATATGAGGAGGTCCACTTTCTTTAATCACCTTTTAAGCAAAAATAACATCAAGTTAAACCACACTGTAAGAATATAACTTCATGTTTGTATCTCTTCAATGTACAAATGCAGCTTTCCTGTGAACTGAAGCTGGGTTTTCATAAAATCTGGACAAGTATTAATGTCAGTACCAGGCCTGAGGACAGAAAATTAAGCCTGAATAGATAAAAGCAATTCGAACCATCCTATTCAGTGTTTCACAGAATATACACTAGACCTAAAATTTCAGAAGGATTTATACAACAGTAACACAATATGCAACAATATTGCATGTTTAAACCAAGGCTGCTGGTTTTGTCCTTGCAAGGTCCATCACAAACTAATTTAAATTAATGAAGGTTCACCTGGCTTTGGCTATTTCTCTCCACACAACATATTCAAAACTATGTTTATATGGCATCATTTCAATCCATTTGTATTGTTTTCTGTTATCATTTGAACACGGCATGTTCACACATGGTCCCAAACTTCAGCCTGAGATGTGTTTTAATGCAGTCCCAGCTGCAGGCAGCATGCCTGCTCTCAGCCATTACCTGGCCAGAGTACACAGCTCAGAGAAACATCCCATACAGTTAAAAGGCTGCCAGTCTTGCATCCACAACTCTCAGCTGTCTCAGCAGTACCAAAAGAAATTATTAAAAGAGGCACCATAACTCACACAAAAGCCAGTCACTTTTGAAAATTTTCATCTATTAATTCCCTTCCAAACATATTCCGAATGACCACAAGAAAAGCCATTTGAAGTACTTCTCCACTATTAAAAATTACAATCAAATAAAAATAAAATGAAGTTCTGAATGTTGTACCTCCCTTTAGCTTTTTCTGTCTTCATTTTCCCATACACACAATGCTCCTTTTAGGATGCCATAATGTTAGGATGCATTTACCAACAAACCATAGCACTGCAAGTGCTAAGACAGTCATCCCTCCATGTATGCACCATTTACTGGTCTGGACAACATCTATCAGGAATTAGAGACCTCATTTGGGAAAAGGTTCCGTTATTTTGTTTGATGGGCGGAAGCAGATACCTAATTTAATCTTTGTATATGTAATGTGTATAAGGAGACATTAAAGCATCTGACAGGCACCTCTTCGTATTATCTTCAAAATCAATACAAATACATATTTTTTCAGTAGGTGCAATTACATCAAAACATTCTTTGAAGACATGTAATGCCTGAGTGCAAAGGAACCGAGGTAAAAGTGCTAGGGCCTTCTTGGTGTAATAACTATATTTTTAATGGGCTGAAACCTTCAACCTTAATATTATTAAAACATGTTTTGTATTAAAGTTCTTTTTATCAAGGTCATGTCCTTTGCATTATTTAGTTTTGCTGTTACACTGTAATGAAGTCTCCTTAGGCTTGTATTTCTTTTTTAAGCTCTCTTTTGTGGCAACTTCACCCACTAAATACAATTAGCACAGCATATATCAATAAAAAGAAACAAAATTAAAATTAACAGACAACTTTGTATACATTTTCCCAGAATAAGACATCATTTGTGCCAGCCTGGGCTTTTCTGCTGTACTCCAGGAGTGTTCCCAATCTAAGATTCCAGGTGAAAATTTCAGAATTGTTTTCATGATTACCTCACTTGAAAGTTGCCCGCAAGCGCTTCACTGCACAAGAAGCCAGTGGTGCTTCCAAGGCAGGGACACGCATGGAGCCACGGGAAGCTGCACTGGCCTGTGCTGGAGCTGGGACAAATCCAGCACCAGCATCTCCTGCTCCCAGGCAATGTTGGGCTTCGTGTCCGTGCCGAACAGCTTCATGGCACTGCAGCACTTCCCACTCTGTTTTAAAGGTGTATCTTAATCCACCCCTGCTCATTGCTATCCCAACTATTACAACACGCTGGCTGTAAAACATGCCTAAATTAACCTTACTAAGATTCTTAATCTTTATGTGGTCTTGCTAATACCATTATATAGGTGTTTCTACATACATGCAATATAATGGATTAATAAAATATACAAGAATGTCTATACTGACCAGATGAAAACAGACAAAGTAAGTCACTTAAGAAATATAATTGTGGAGTTCCTAAAATACTAGTTTTATATAAGTTTTCTCATATATAAATGCCACAAATATATATAAACAAATGAAGAAGTATTGTAATACAAAACCAAATTATATTTTCATATATGTGAAAACACATTTCTTAATATAAAACTAATGTATTCTGGTGTGTTTTTCATCTTTTAAACTTTTAAGTATGTGACACAAGGTAAAAAATTGCCTGGAAAACATTCAAGACTGTTTTTTTTTAGTGTGTACAATGGAAAAAAGTCTGTGTTGTCAACGGAATGGACCCCTTAGGATTCAGACAGGATTCAGATAAAGCTAAACATCCAAATTTGGTAATTTAGCAAAAAAAAAAATATTTACCTAACAACATTTTTGGTTAACCCCAGATTTTAGATCTTTTTACTCCACATGATTTCAAACATTTGTGCCGTAAGCCTAGGGATAGAAAACACTATAAAGAAATTCAGCCTTTGCTATTGAAGAACAATATATACATTGGTACATTAAACTATTTCCTCAGTTGAAAGATATGACCCGTGGACCAAATCATGGCTAATTTAAAGCTGAGAATTTAATTAAGGGTGGCAGTTCAATACACTTCTTTTTCTGTTCCACTGATTTAAAGAATAAGTCCACCAAGAGAAAACACATGGGGCCAAAACACATCTAAGGTCAAGTTACATCCAGAGTGAATTTGGCTAAATTTAATGAATCATGCTGACAAATGAAAACCAGCAGTACGATTACAATGAAAGAGCAATGCTGCTTCAATCATTAATGAGACTCCAGGTAGAAAATTCAAAGGATTATGACAAAATCAAATGGACATAAAAACCCCCCCAAACAACACACAAAAAAAAACCCCAAGCAAAAAACAAAACCAACATAACCAAAAGAAAACAAAACAACAAAAACAACAAAGAAAGGACAATGCAAACAGGTTAAAAAAAAAAAACAACCTAACATGACACCTGCATTCATGATTATTTAGATGTTTTACAATACTGATATAATCCCATGTGCTTGTGTGGGCAGGCATACCAGATTGACCTAGTTTAAAAAAGGAAAATAAAGGTTGTATGTTTCATCAAAACTGGAGCGAGGGAGGGTAACCATCATGCAAAAGCCAAATGAGAGCTACTCAGTATGTCAATCATTCAATCTGACAGCATTAATTCTCAGGGGAGCAGGAGCCAGATGGGTGTGAAACTTTCCATTGAGAACTTGCTCATTCTCCCACAGTCAGCAATTTGGTCTTATCCTGGTTCAGAATTCGGAATCTCTGCCTCACTGTGATAAGGCTGGGACACAAGAAACTGAAACTTTTTTCTCAGCTGAACACTGGAAGGGGACGGAAAGGGATGGAAGGGCAGAAAATTTGCCTGTTCAGGTACTCTATTCCCTCACACTCAATAGTGAGAATGAGAAAAATACTTCATTGTATCTGCTACATATAAAAAATATCCCACTTCAAAGAAAACTACTGAAAATAAAATCACAGTACGGAACATCCCAACTTGGTCTAATATCTGAAGCTATTAACTTCAGTTACATCTTCTAGTATCACCCAACCCCTTACTGACAGGTCAGGAATAAAATCATGTATGTTTCAAGAGAGCTGAAAAAAACCAGGATTTTAGCCTACTGACAAGGAGGGAATAAGACGCAAAATGACCATTTCACAGCTATTCTAACAATTTTAGATAATCACGTAATAGATAAAAATTCCTTAGAACTCACCCTAAAGTTCCTAGGCTGCATTACACAAAACAGGACAGACAGAAGAAAGCCACAAGATTCTGAATACTCTCCCTATTTTCCACCCCTTTTGCAATTCTGAGGATGTGTTTAAATAGAACTTTAAATATCTTTATGACCATTACTTAGTTGCATAACACAGCACTGTTGGAACATTGGCTAAAGCTTTGTCAGATGAAGAAAAGACAGATCATTTTATAGCTATGGCACAAAAAAACCCTAGAGAAAGCTTTGATGCCTGCCTGAAATAACACAAAACCATTTGTAAATAAAATCCTATTAGAAACATCAGATCCTGGGGATTACCCTTAATTGCTTAGCAGTTTTATTGAAATATAAGCCAGTACCAAGTTCAATCAAAACTCCATTTAAGAATGTCACTTGTACTTAGATTTCAAGGAAGGAAATAACACAAAACCTGTCAGGAGAGCAAGAAACTGTCTTTTTTTCAATGCTGTTAACATTCTTTGGCAAGTGACACATTAGACTTTTCCTGTACTAAGTATCTCTGCTTCATTCTTTCTTTACCAAATATTCTACCTTAAATGAGCTGAAACACAGGAAAGTTAAGAAGATATGTGAAGCACTATCCCTCTTTTCTTACTAACTTCCAAGCTATTCTGTGATCCATGACCATTCATCTCCTTGTATTTGAGTGTAGTCATTTGTATGGAACTGTTCCAAACACTTTAAAATACTTAAGGTAGAAATCATGTGTGAAAACTGAAATGTTAATTATAAGCTTCCTTTTTGTAACACAGGCACGTGTATCCACTAAGTCCGATCTTACATGAGCTATGTTATTACCATGCAGTTGCAAACTGATACACAAACATCTGCAGACACCACAGTTTTATCCCTGAGATTTTACTTTCTTTTAACTTTCTAATTTAACTCTCTAATCTCTGCCTTGGTGAGGCCACATCTGGAATACTGTGTCCAGTTCTGGGCTTCCCAGTTCAAGAGACAGGGAGCTACTGGAGAGAGTCCAGCAGAGGGCAACAAAGATGACTGGGGGATTGGAGCATCTCCCTTATGAGGAAAGGCTGAAAGAGCTGGGACTCTTGAGCCTGGAGAAGAAAAGGCTGAGAGGACAACTAATTAATGCCTACAAGTACCTGAAGAGTGGGTGTAAGGAGGATGGAGCCAGACCATTTTTAGTAGTTCTCAGTGACAGGCAATGAGCACAAGCTGGAACATGGGCAGTTCAACTTAAATATGAGGAAAAACTTCTTTACAATGAGGGTGACAGAGCACTGGAACAGGCTGCCCTTGAGGTTGTGGAGTTCCCTCCTCTGGAGATATTCAAGACCTGCCTGGATGCAGTCCTGTGTAATATGCTCTAGGGGATCCTGCTTTAGTGAGGGAGATGGTCTAGATAATCTCTCAAAGTGTCTTCTAACTCTGACAATTCCGTGATTCTGTAATTAGTCCACATTACATGGACCATGTATATGAAGCACATACTCATTTGCTATGAGGAGTTCCTTAGTCAAAACCAATATCCTTTGTCTTTGGCTGTCTTACCTACCTTCTGAGAGATTTCTCTGATTTCTAAGAAGGTCCAAATATCCCATCTGACACTGTCCAATTCATGGCTATAGGCCCAATGTGTCAGTAAACTTCAGACAGCATGCTGTAAGGCATGCCACAGAGTAATTCATTTTTTTGGCATGCAAATATGTGCCTATACTCCAAAAAGCACTGGAGAAAATAACCATCACCAGTATAAGCACTACCCATGTCCTTCATATATACTCAATTTAAATGTAAAACAAAAAGTAGAAAAATTAAACTTTAAAGAGCCACTTGCATTACTATTTTCTGAATGTTAAACAAAGAGGGAGGGAGAAACCCCAGCTTAAAAGTCTGGTAGTTCCTACCACAGTAACATTAGATTTTTACGACCAAATTTCATACCAGAAATTTTTTTCTGTTACTAACACTCATTCTCCTATAGTTAGTTCATTGATAGCGTTGGAGCTATTCCAAATAATCTTTATTAGTTAGGGCAAACTAAGGTGTCAGAAGCAGGTTCATGGATAAAATCATGCAAAAAGAATAAAAAAAGTCAAGAAGGCGTAAACACAGATAGACAAAGAGTCAAACGGTGTGGAAGATAATACACCCATGGCTTTCTAAAAACAGCACATCAGATGCAAAGTGTCTCAACTGGACCTTTTGCAGTATATGAAAGCCTACAGTTAAAGCAAAGACTTTGGCTGACTATTTTGAAGATTATTTCAAATCAGAGTGAGTGTGCTTCTAATGCCACAGCACTGTACAGAAGATACCTGAACTGTCTTTCTGCCATCCACTTGCTTGCAACCAAATATTAGGTCTCCCATATTTCTGAATGAGCACCTAATTTAATAGTAAAATCTAAGCATCTCAGACTTTGACACACTACCAAATCTTTTTTATTTATAATTTTAATTAATTTAAATGTCATCTTCATAATGTGTTGGTATTTTTAATTGTGTGGCACATTTTTAATACTGTCTTAGCAAACAGATAAATATTTAACATATACCTCAAAACTGACAGGTATATTGCGCTTCAAGGCAATTTCAAACACTACGCTGATCTCAGACTTGTTCGCATCTTTATCTTCTTCTGATTCTTTTCCTGGTTCTCCATTCTGAAAATGAAGAATACATAATCATATTACAATTTTTAGCAGATAAAAAGACACAATATTCTTCTCTCCCAACTTCTTGAAGACTTTCGAGTTGTCCTGTCTTGCTGTAAATCAGTGTTTGTCCATCCAACTCAGCACCCCATTATCTGACACTCACTGACTGTGAAGCCATATATAATGCACTTAATGCTTCATAATAAAGAAACATATACACATTAATTTATAAATTAATGATAGATGACAAAACAACCTCCATAGACAGTAGTCTTATTAATGATACGGAAAATAATAATCATCTGAATACACATTTCTTGTGTCAAACATGAGGATCCAACAGATCCTTTGGCCTGTTTCTCAGTCTCTGTGTGGGTACCCCTGGCAAGCAAGGAAGAAGTCCAGAAGACTGTACTTCTCTCAAGAAATTCAGTGAATCACCCCCACACTTAGAGTGGGTCACCAGGTTACAGGTGTCCTCAGCAGGTCCAGCTGGTTAATGGCCCCTCCATCAACTTCCCTCTGGGAGTTATGACCAGTGTGAAAAGGTAGTGACAGAGAACAGCTTGCTCAACACAGAACATTATTTATTTATCCATAGGAACCTAACAAACAGAGAGGCTAAGAGGTAAAACAACAAAAGGCACAAGCAAACATTATCCTGCCTAAAATACAGCTTTGCTTTACACTTCAAGTAAGGCTTACTTTCTTCAGACAACCACCAGCAAGGGAATTAGTCAAAGAGTTATCACCTTCTACAACTGCTGCCTTTTAGTGTTTGTCCCCCTAGGCCACATCTTCCTTAGTTCTCAGAGGTTTCACATTCAGCTACTTTCAAACTGCAAAGCTCTGAATGTTTCAAACTGGGATCTCTCAACAGCCATGTAACCTTGGCCAGGCTCCTAATTTTTTATTAGTGGAGGTAAACATCAAAGAAACTTAGGCTGAATTAGGTGGATTCCTGCAGAGTCCCCATGTTAGATAACAAAGTCTGATCTAAATCTTCAGCCACCAGCATAGCTACAAAATTCAGATAACAAAATAACATTAAAACCACATTAGGTTTTTCACATTAACAATAAAATTTAGCAATCTCTTATCTACCATTTGTTAACTCTTAATACATTAATCCTTAAGAAAATGCAGGACCAAAAATCCAGCAGTCAGTTACAGCATGCAGACATGGGGCACTTTTTGTCTTATTAAATGGCTGTAAAATTTTGACTCTGAAAAAGCAATTTATGTCCCTGATATTGATCTGGAACTAAATACAAAACAGAAATGTATAAACGTCCTAGAACCTGCTGAAAAAAAAATATTAAAAAATTGTGCAGTGCAAAGCAGTAACAAGGATAGTTTGAATAAAATTAGGTAGGAAATTATGTAGCTTGTTTCATATAATGAATTGTAAAATACCACTGAAATCAAGAATGTAGGTCATTATTTACAGGACAGGCAAAGCATGATTAGGTTCACTGAGAAACTGAACAGAATTAAAAGGACAATATTTAAAAGTAAAAATATATTTTGGAGATTCAAAAAATATAAAACAAAGAGTGGGGTACTACTATTCTGTATGAAACTTCAATTGAGTAGAATACTGAGTAAGATTTTCACTAAGTTTATGTTTATAAAGGTCACAGATAACCTGAAAAGCTGGCAAAAAAAGCCACAATGATGAACTGCTTATTAGAAAAATCAACCTTACACTGAGACACTGTGGAAACAATCTGTTCTATAAAAAGATTCTAAATTACTTAATCATAATCTGTAAATGCATATAGGGGAAATATTTTTGATACTTGCTTGTTCCACTTTGCAGAGGTAAGAAAATATCTATTAGCTAGAAAGTGCAGCTAAGTGAATTTAGAAGAAACACCTTGCAAATTATATTTGAAATGGGGAATACCAATCAGTGCTATAATTTACATAAATTAATATGAAGCCCACTGGACTGTCACCAAACCTTTAAGTCAAGAATGTTTAGGTTTTCTAGCTATACTCTAACTTAACCAGATATATAGTCTAATGCAGAAATTACTGTTTAAAATTTCATTATTAATACAAACACGTTAGTCCAGAAAAACCCCAGTTGTCCCTTCTGCCCTTACAACTTAATTCCTTGCATTTTTTTCCACCAAACACAGCTGAGACCCTAACTGTGAGTGAAGAATAGGGAGGATCAGAGACTTTGAGGCTTAGACTTTAGTACAGGGCAGAAAAGTTTCAAGTCCTAGTCATATGATTTCCCTAAGGAAGATAAAATATGTTCAGGAGTGTCTCAAGTACTTTGAATTTAAATTTGATCCTCATTCCACAGCTGACACTTTAATTGTAAAGCCTTTCTTAGCCTCACATCTGAGACAGCAGAGGTGCTCTGGCAGACACACAATAGCTCTTTGATGAAAGCAGGTTCACATTCACCTGTAACCCTGCCTTGTTTGCTCACTGCTTCTTGTTTCTGCCCACCTTATGCTCTCCAACATGTTTGTGCAATGAAGTATTAAGGCAATGCTCTTCAGTGGTTTAATATGGATAAAGATTTTATCCTTAATGGTTTGGTCTTTTTTTTTTTTTTTTAAAGGGTATCTCAAAACAAAAGAATATACAGAAGCCTGTATTAGCAAACACAGTTATGAAAGCAAAAAGATAAACCCATGTATTTACTGTGAAATATCCATGGATCCCATTCCAGTGAAGTCCACTGAATTCTACCCTTGGGATGCAGGGCTAGATTGGTACTGGTAGGTCTGTCTCTGCTCCCCTCTCTGCTCTCCTTGGAAGCACAGTGGCAGTGATTGGGGAAGAAAGAAGCTCAATCTAGTCATTTAATTGAGGCCAGCCGGACTCTAATGTGTACTGGCTGTGAGCCATGCATGATGTTTGAGGAATGATAAATCAACCACTTCCAAGGCTGACCCAGGCAGGTCACTTCTGCTGAAGGAAGCAGAGTTTTACTGAGCTGGACCATGTCCCATGCTGAGGGCAAATCCCACCACTGTGCAGCAGCCCCGTGTGTACTTCAAATGCCAGCAGCAGCAATTAAATATGCAATTTTAAAAAACTAAGAATACACTGAGCCAAAAGTACATTTCAATAATATGAGATTCCCATGCAGGTTTGTGCTAAGAATTCGGAATTAACAATGAGAAAGAGAACAGGGATTCCTCCTAAGACTTTACATATTCTATCTTAATAGTTCTCCTGTTTAAAAAAATAAATAAATCAATATTAATTATATTAATATAATAAAAGGATATTACTTTGAAGATAATTTCCAGAAAAATAATATAGCAAAAAACCCCGAGGGTGAGTCAAATCTCTTTGGATCCAAAGACAGATGTAGATGCAAGATCAGGCAGAAAATACTAAGATTATTTTTTTTAATACTCAAAATTACTTCCATTCTTAAAAAGCAGCTCAAAACTACCACACAAGACACTGAAGGTGCTATTAGCTAAGTTTTGCACTGTGCACAGGAGCTCAACAGATGTCATCAGAATGAGTGCACAAAATTAAAAGACTCTCTCCTTGTGCAATTACTTTGGATTATTTGATTGGGCAATTTTATTACATTTGTCCTTCCCATTTGCAAAGATTACTGTGACAATAATTTTTCTGTTTGTTTTTTTTTTTTAAATATTACATACTTTCTCATTTTTAAGCAGCAATATATACCACTTAGAAATACAGCAGTGAGAAAGCTAGCTGTTTTCAAAGGTACTAGGTGGGTAAAAGCCTAAAACCACCAGAGAGCTGATCAGTAGTTGTCAGTGAGTTGTGTCGGGTTATAAGGTACATTTGGGACAAGTTATCTCAACTGTAAAGATCACATCACACACGATTAATAATCCATTCTCCATGAAGACACTGATTAAATGGACATTATCTCCACCTTGACTATAATCTCAACTATTTTATTTTGATGTTATGTTTTACTTAATCTCAGGTGACAATCTCATCTTTAAAATGCCTACTAGTTTTTGCTATTTAAGTCCAGTTTCATGTTAGCTGTGCCGTTATGAAGAGAGAACACTAATAACTTGTCAGTATTACTTCTCTAATTATTGAGCCTAAAATGAAAAAAAAAAAAATCACTAAAATTAAACATTGAAAAACTGGCAATTAGATTGCTTTATTTGGTATCGTAACATGAATATTAGGAACAGTTTTCTGAAACACAGACCTGAGGTATTTTTTCTGGAATAGGCTCATTCTGAAGAGCTTGAAGGGCCTTCATTGCAGCATTATGTCTGGCAGCTTGACGAGTCTTTCCTTCACCAAAAAACTCACTGTTGCCAACAGTTAACTGGACATAGAAAATTTTAGGCACTGGGCAGTGATACCTGGAAAGAAGTAATGAAAAAAACCCAAGAGTACAAGTTAGTGATTTTTAACCATCAATTTTATGTAACATAAAGCAGTAGATAGGGATAAAACACTATCTTTCCTCAGAGTGTAAGACACTCAGCTCGTGCTGTTCCTCAGCACGGCTATCAGTAACTCAGACACCAGCTCCTACGAGCAAACCAGCTCATCACCCATATTTGCAGGGCTCTGCAACCAGCATGACTATAGTTCAGCCCAACAGCCCAGCCCTGCTCTTCTTGGTTTGAGTCTTGAGGTTAAACTTACTAAGAACTGAAAGCTCCAGTAGAAGCCATGCCTGGATGAAAAACCCTGTCCCATGGGAAAGTGGCACAGAAGAAGGACCGCAACTGGCTGGCATAGCACGGCTCTTAGGGACAACATAAAGTCAGACAGAAGAGAGTGAGGGACCTGGATAATGTACTTCTTGCCACTTTTTAAAGCTCGTATATCGAAATTTTTGTAGAGGATAAGAAGTTCTCTCTCAAAGCATAACAGAGGGTAGGAAGAAGCTCTTCTTCAACTCTACAAGAACCAAGTATTTTCTGGGCACTGAAAGAAAAGCAGCAATCACCACCACATTGTTTAGTCTTTTTTTTTCCCTCCTACAGAAAACTTTCCAAATAAAATGGCAGGGTTTGTTTTCTGAGTATGTCTGAAAGACTCTGAAAGAAGGATAAAACAAAAACCTTAACATTTTCCTATGAACCAGCACAGCTATTATTCTTCAAAGAAAGCAGCGTCTTTATTCATATCATCAACTCCACATCTCTATTTTCAGTAATAAAAATAGCTAACCCATACCATACTCACTATCCTGAAACCTGTCTCTCACTAGCAGCCAATGAAGAAAGAGACGTAACCCCATTCTTGGGTTTGGGAGGACCTGTCACAGCGCTGTGATAACTAAATGTAAGAACTTGTCCACATAATTAGTTTATATAGAAAATATGTATTCCCACACACATGCTGTCTGAGTCAGAACAAGGAATTCAGTACAGATAACTAATTCTAGTCACTGTTAAAATTATAATATTTTAAGAGAACATTTCCAAAAAGTCCTCTAATCATATTATATATAGGTAACGGAATTCACTTCATACACTTCACTCAATGGTCTAGTCAGCCTATGCTCCTTCCTCAAACAAAAACTTTTCTAACACATTGGAGATTTAGTCCTAGGAAGAAGAGATATCTATCAGAAATGGTTTCTCATGACAAATAACTTGTACACAACCTAGGGCATTCCCAGCATTCCAAAAGCATGGCCAAAAGCTAGGTCCATTGCAACAAAATTAAAATCACTCAAACCCACAACAAAGTACTACATTTTCTTTCGTTCTCTTTAAAGGATCCTTATTAAAGAGTGCTCTCTCAATTTTCCTATGTTGACACGGATGGTCAATTTTCTTTCTGACTTTTCATTAATAATTGTAACCAATTTGTTTCAACTATAAAACAAAATAAAACTTTCAGATAGCACAACATTTCAAACCCAAACAAATGTGAATAGTCACTCCAGTCTCAGTGTCCCCGAACTTTGTGCCTAATTCTAAAAGGATGTTTATATGGAAAGAGCAAAACCATAACACTGGCTCCAACAAGCCTCTGGCTATAGGGCCTTAGAGGGGTGAGCTAAGTTGCTGTTACAACATGCAAAATTGGGTATTTGCTTTGCTTTCCTGTTTATGGTTTAACACAGTTATAGGGAATTATTAAGGCCTGCAAATGTATTTGCTTATGTTAACATTTTCATAAAATTCTAGAATAACACAGGTTGGGAAGGCTCCTGGAGGTTATCTGGTCCAATGCAGGACCTAAATGCTCTTCCTTATTTGTGGTTGGGACCCTTTCAGCCCTGTTGGTTTTTTTTTATTTTAGGGTCTCTCTCTTCAACACCACCCTGAAGTCTTTGCCTACTACCTTGATCCATTACTGCCTCACTTGGTTGTAGGTGAACTCTACTCTCCATCACAATAAAGCTCTCTCAACCACTTTGGCCAACTTGTTGATAAAGATGCTTGTCCCACTCAGTCTGGTGGACCCTGTCTCTTCCAAGCATTGATCTTTAAAGAGGGTGCCACAGATGTAAAAATCAAATCTCTGTAGTCATGCTTGTTATGCTCTGTGTGTCCCCTTACGGTACCTTTGGTGTCCACAATGAGGAGCAGCAGAAGGTAATAATCTGAGAAACAGACAATCCTTGGCAGTCTATCCAAAGTGTCCCAATCCGAGCCCTCAGTGAGAACCAAACTTCTCTACACAGCAGGCCAGGTTCACAAATGGTGGTGTCCATCAGCTGCAATAGGAAGCTGCTCAATATTACCACTTTTTGCTTCCTTCTGGTGCTCATGCAGGGCTCAGACTTGTCTGGATTGGATGTTTCGAGAGCTCCCAGGCCCTCCTCATCTGATGCCATGGCACTGAAATTGTAGTTGCAGATCTGCAGCTGCAGAAGCCTTCCTTCCTGGTGTCAAAAATTACAAGCTTCCAGCCTCTGCCATCACCGGACTCCCCATTTCCCAGCCCAATAAGCATTGACTCTCCCTGCTCCTCCTTTGGTATGGTTGGGTATTCAGGCAGGATCTTGGAGAAGATCCAACTGATGTCTTACTCATCAGCTCTAGTGATGTCAGCACAGTTCGCTGCAACTTCCTGCATCTCCTTTACTTGGCAAAACAGATCCTCTGACAGTGCACTGGCCCTCTGATCCTGCAGACAAGACCACTGTTTCCTTGTCCCAGCCACAGCTCTGCAGCTAGATCTGACAGCTGCTCCAGACAGTGCTAGGAACTGTACCATGTGGCACTTCCCCTCTGCTGCTGAGCAGACACACACTGTCCTCAGCAGAGTTTTTGGTTCTCTTCTGCTTGAATTGCTGTGCAAACTCCTGCATCTGCAGGCTGCCTCTGGGAGCAGCACTCCAAGCCCTGCACTTACATGTGCTTCTCCCTAGTACCTGTGGAAAGGTACTTGACCCTCTAATCAGGAGACAGCTGGAAGGAAAGCTCAGTGCAGCTTTTGATGAGGAGTAGCTGGCAGAACTTGTTGGCAGCTGCTAGATGTTGCTAGAAGCCACAGCCTCTTGCAGCTAACCTTTTTCTGCAGCAGCAGGCACCCTCAAATTCCTCAAAGAGTTCCCAGGAATCCTCCCACCATCCCAAAAGAAGTTATCGGCAGATCTAGAACTAGAGCCTGGAAACTGCTGCATCTGTTGGCTGCACCCATTAGCAGCAGCTTAGCAGAAGATAAGCTCTGTCTCACAAAGGCATTTGGCACCTTGATAGCACACCCCTACCTCATTACTTCACAATCATCTTAAAAGAAAAAGAAATGTGGTAGTGCTCTAAGCAACTACCTAGATTTAGGGAATATACAAATTCTGTCACAAGTTCCTGTAGTTCCTGTTTCTAGTTGAGTTACTAGACCTACCTTTCTCTCCATTACATGCAAAGGAGGAACGCATGTGAACATTAATCCACTTCATAAGCCCAGATTCCACAACAGAACCTCTATTTTTCCTCCCCCCTCTCCACCTTTTATTTTAAAGAGTGTTTAGGGAGCTATTTATATGATAATATGGAAAAATGATATTCAGCCTGTGGCTCTGGAGCCTCATGCAGATATTTGGCATGGGCAGAATGATTAGACTTTTACATGGTTTTGATTAAACTTTTCTTGCTCAGCTTGGCCTCAAGCAGAGTTAACACAGCACTGATAATACGAACATTGCCAGCAAAGTGCAAAGAAGCACCAGAAATCCTTAGAAAATTGACAAAAACTGGGAGGCTATTGGCTTCTCTACAACACGGAGTGTATAAAATAGAAACAACACATCCTCCTCTGTTTGGTGGTGAGGACAGAGACTATATTAACAAAAGCCTTAAAAGTAATAGTAATATTACAGTTCGGAAGTACAGCGCAACAACTAAACTGAGTTTTAATACAGAGTGATTCTGTGTCCTGAAGCTGAACACTCATCTAAGGAACAACCCCATGCAAAGTTTAGATATCTAATCTGCCACTGATTATTAACAAACCTTCCCAACAGATTGCATTTAAGTTACTAAAAAGGACCAAAAATATTAACAATCTTGGGAATCACAGAATATGCTGGGTTGGAAGGGACCCATCAGGATCATTGAGTCCAACTCCTCTCCCATGTACCTGATAGCACCACCCAAACAATTCTTGAACTCAGGCAGGCGGCTTGGTGCTGTCACCACTTCCCTGAGGAACTTGTTCCAATGCTCAACCATCCTCTGGGTGAAAAACCTTTTTCTGACATCTAACCTAAACCTTCTCTGATTCAGCTTCCTATTTATATAATATTTATATAAAATTTGCTGATATTATGTAATAACATATCAGCACAATATTTTCCATCACAGGAACACCTACACATCCTATGCTCCTCAGCCCTCTCTCAACTCTGTTCAACCACAGAACTGAAACCGTCAGGATTTCCAACAGCAACGCTTCACATACAGACTCATTAGGGTTCTGAAAGTTTTAAAGCTACCTACATTTAAAGAATATCCCTGCATTCTAAATGGCAACTACAAAGACTAAGATTTTCCTTTAGAGAAAATTCTTATGCAAAAAAAGATTCTCAGGTGATACTGGCACAGTCCTCAGAATATAAGCTGATGGACACAGAAATACGACATCAGATTATAAAACCAGAAGACAAAGAAAGGGCATGAGAAATGCTATACTCAATTGGAAGGAAAAAATAAAATGTGATAAAGGATAATATTTTATAAACCAGGCACATACAACCTATTAAAACAAGTTAATTTTCATCTGGCCCTTCTGGACATTTGAGATTCTTAAGAAGATCCTTCCAACAAGAGGACTGGAAAGCAAGTTCTCTTTATTCCCTCTAAGTTTCGTAGCATCAGAATTCTAATTTTTTGGCTAGTGCCATTGGTATCACATTAGAATAGTCAACCTGAAAAAGGATATTTGCACTATG